TAAGGTTATAGTCTGTTGGCATTCTAAAATGTTTTGTTTTGTGGGTCATTATTATTCACATTTTATAGGCTGGAAACTGGGAGTGACTTCCTGAAAGCCTCCCAGTTTCAAATCTAATTGTTATCCACAGACTCATACCAGCTCCTGTGATACTATCCTGTGATACAATCCGTGGATGTGAGTGTGAATAATTCGATATATTGCATCTACCTGCGTACACCTTCAGGTGATGATTTAAGAGACAGGAGCTTCAGTGCACTGCCCTATCCACTGAACCACTGTATCAAATCTTCCATCTAAACTTATATGCTTTGAAAGTTCTCTAAAATGGTAGATAAAGAAAACACATATGGCAGTATTACCAGTAGTTTAGGAAAGTGGGGCATTCTGGTTCAGATCCTTGCTCAGCTATGTTACTTATTGTGGGGTTTGAGAAAAGCCATTATCTGGCAGCCAAACCTCTCTTATAAAGGTACTTGTCACTCAGAAAGCCCATTAGGAAAAAGACAGGCCAAAAATCTAATAATAAATACAATAAACCAAAAATGCCAACATTTTCATTTTGAAATTTATCACTTCACTTTAATGTATCTGAAAATAACTTCTTTTATTTGAACAGAAATAGCTACATGAAAAATAGTTGGTACAATATACTGGAAATTTCTCCAACATCATCCCATAAAACTAAATGGGAGCTGCATTTCTACATAGCTCCCATTCTTATCACTATGGATTTCACAAGAGAGTGATTTTTCTTTTAGTCTCTCTTTCTCTCACAAACTTGTCAGATTGTTAACCATGCGGCTCCCCCCACCCCCCTTTTGCTAGCTGGCTTATTTAGCACATCTTAGATTGACAAAGTGTTTCATTTTCTTTTCTTAACACTTTTCTGTAGTTGCCTGGAAAATACATCTGAGAGACAAATCTATGGGCGTTATTTCAGATAAGTTCTTTTTTAAAAAATCAGTATCAGTGCTACCTAAAGGAAAGAAACAGGTGGGGAATGATGTTTGTACAACCTGACATTCCTTATGCTTAGCAGCCTTACAGTCTGTAGAACAGAACAGATCTGGGAGAACATCTGGTCCAGGGAGAACATCTGGTCCAATGCCCTGCTCAGTAGACGCTGTGTCTGCAGGGTAGACCTTCAGTCTCTGAGAGAGGGCCAGCCAGTCTCTGTTGAAATACCTCCAAGCAAAGGCATTTGCCCCCAGCGACGCCAGAGACAATCTGTTCCACAGCTCTTGCTGGTGAACATCTCTCACTGGGCTGTTCTACACAAGGCATTTATTGTGTACTCATGAATAACCATTACTCTTTGGAAGTTTGTAGGACCTTTTAATGATGTCCTCCTCCTTCAAAGCCCTTCCTGTGCTTTCCAGCCATGTTTGCAGCTTTGTTTTGAGTGAGGATAATGAGCTATTAAATGTAAAACCAGAACAAATCTGGATAGCAGAGCACCGCCTTGTGCTTGATTATTGGATATACAGAAAGGCAGAGGAATGCAAACTCTTGACAGGATGGGGGTGCAGATGGGGAAGGCGGTTACAGTGTAAAGGACACACTTTTCCTTCTGCAGTGAAAACAGAAGCCTTAGTAAAGCATCAGGTGAAACCCCCTGTTAAGTTTTGTCTCATCTTAAACCAAAACCGGCTTCCCTGCATTTTCCACCCTCTGTTTCTGGTCTGGCTCTCTTGAGCAACAGAGAACGAGTGAACTGCATCTTCAGCCTGACAGTCTTTTAGATATTTGAAGACCGCTATCCTGCTGGGGTGGCTGTTTGAGCAGGAATGGAGTGTACTGCACTGAAGGGGTCCCACTCCAACTTGGATGGCCTGTTCCAGATCATCGTGCTTGGGGAGCACCTCTCAGCCCTGGAGACCCTTCTATGTGGAGTTCTTCAGGTGTTGGTCTTTACACCCACGGTATTTAACATCTGCAGGAAATGGCTGAATGGGGTCTTCTGGAGTTTTAGAGTGTTTTGTCATCCATACTCTGATGATGCGCAAATCTATCTTTCCTTTTCTTCTCTAGGAAGCTGTGAATATGCTAAATTAGGGCCAATGAACTGGAGCTCAGTCTGGACAAGACAGTGGTGGTGCTGGAGGGTGGTTACTCTGACTGGATATGGGGTGTTCAGCCTTTCTGGATGAGGTTGTAATCTCCTGCAAGCAGCAGGTTCATAATTTGGGGGTGCTTCCTGAACCCTTTTTGTCATCTAAGGCTCAGGTGGCCTTAGTGCCATGGAGTGCTGTCCACAAGCTGCAGATGGTGCTCAGCTATGCCCTGTCTGGACAGGGATAGTCTGTTTTCAGTAATCCGTGCTCTGGTAATCTCTAAATTAGGTTACTGCGATGTACTGTACATGAGCTATCCTTGCAGACTGCTCAGAGGCTGCAGTTTGTGCAAAATGCAGCAGACAGACTAATAACCAGGACTAAAATGTCTGAACATGTAACATCGATTCTTGCTCATTTGCACTGGCTGCCTGTAGGTGCCCAAGGTGCTCATCCTAACCTGTAAAGGTCTGCATATTGTGTAACCGCAATTCCCAGACATCTCTCCCAGCTGCAACATAGTCAAATACTTTGCTCAGCATCTGAGGCCTTCTTCCAAGTGCCATCCCCGGGAAGTCTTGTATGACTGCAACAAGGAACAGGGGCTTCTTTGTGGCAGCCCACTGATCATAGAATTGTCTCCTGACTGAGCCCCTCTGTTGTCAACGCCACCATCCTTTCAGTGGCAGCTTAAGACTACCCTCTGTGCCAAAGTGTTTAAGAGCTTCGAATAGCATATGGGGCAGAGTAATGGCTGCTGCTTTGAACAGGATTAGCCATATTGTCTTAAGTTTTTTTAAAATTCCTTTGGTATATTTTATGATGTTTTTATTGTTATTTGTATTTGATTGGATTTTATGAATGTTGTTATCTACCCAGAGCACTTGGCCTATTGAGTGGTATATAAGTAAAATAAAATAATAACGAAACAAAACCAAACCAAGCATACCTAGCTCTTTCAAGCATCCCTCCTATAACTTGATTTTCAGATTTTTGACCATCCTAGTTGTTCTTTGTATATGCTCCAGCTTATCAGTGTCCTCCTTAAAATAGGATACCCAGATACTGCAAATGCAGCCTGACTATTGCAGAATCAAGAAGAGCCATTAGTTCCCATGATCTGGACACTATGATTCTCTTAATGCAGCCCAAGACTGCATTTGCTTTGTTAACTGCCACATTGTGCTCCTAGCTCATAGTCACCTCGTGATGCATGAAGGCACCTACGGTCTTTTTCACATGTACTACTACCAAACCAAGTCTCCTCCATCCTACTCTTATGTCTTTGGGGGTCTTTGATTTTGCCCTGTGTTCCAACCTGCCTATATTCTTTTGAATTTTGATCATATCTTCTGTGGTAGTGACTGTCCTTCCTAGCTTTGCTTCATCTGTAAATAAGGTAAGACATTCCTCCCTGCTTTCATTTTATAAAAATGTTGAACAGCACAGAGCCTAAGTCAAAGTCCTGTGTCACTCCACTGGATACCTTCATCTGGGAGGATGCGAGACCTTACTGAATACAGTTGCTCAACCGGCAGTGGATTCACCTAATTGTATATCTTCCATCACACATTTACCATCTTGTCAACAAGGATATAATGGGAAGCCTTGTCAAAAGCTTTGCTGAAATCAGATACTCCGTATGCTATGTCCACAGTATTCCCATGAGCTATGGAACTAGTAACTTAATCAATGAAGGAGGTAAGGTTGGTTTGTTGTGAAATATTCCCGATAAACTCATGTTGATTCCTAGTAACCAATGAGATATTTTCTAGATGTTCATAGAGTTTGAGAATTTTGCTTGGTACTGACTGGTCTGTAGTTTTCTGGATCAACTTCTTTCCCCTCTTGGTTTTTCTTCTACCTTCTCAGAGGCTAAGTTGTCAGCAAGTCAGGTAAAATAATTAATGGATGTTCCATTCCTTGCAGAGTTAGAACTGCAAGGAACAGCCTGTCAAAGTAGTTGAAATCCTGTCTTACTGTCCTTGCTTGCCTCTGTGAAACTTTTGTCATATATCCAGGAAAACTCCATCCATTTCTGCAGTAAAGTGCCACAATAATATAATTCTACATTTCTTCCTCCCTCTCTCTGTACACAAATGCCTCCACTTTCAGAATCATGCCTTTACACACAGGTATATACATGGTTAGATATAATTCTACCTCCCTTCCCTCCTGTTAGGTCTATTTCTTTTGAACAAGATATACATTTTAATGGCTATATTCCACTCATGAGTCACATCTCACCAAGCCTCAGTGCTACCTATGAGATCATACTTACCATTTTGCATTAGGATTTCAAGTTAATCCTGTTTCTTTCCCTTGCTCTGTTTATCAAGTGATAGACATCAGAAGCCAAGGGTGTTGCATCTTCCCAGTTTCCCTGCTGTATTTACTTGCTAGTTACTGGGATCAACCCCACTGCCTTGTCTCCTCCTTTGTCTTCTGAGTTCTCTATAATTCTTGGCTCAGTAGATAGTTCTGGGCTTTTGCTGCCCTAGAAGTTAGTTTATTAAAGCTGGTTTGTAAGGCTTCTGCCAAATATATTTTTCTCATTCTCTGGGAGAAGCACCCTGTCCTCTTCAAGTAGTGCTTCTTATTGGTGTCACAGGCCATGGTCCACGAAGTCACCCCTTTTCCAGGAATGTCACCTGCATAGCTGGTTGTCCATTTTAATATCCTGGTTTCTCTACAAGTGCTCTGACCTTTGACAGAAAGGGCTGATGAAAACATCACTTGTGACCACCACCTTTCTTCTCAGAACCTTTAGAGACCCATTCAGCTCTCTTCTGGCTGTATTATTTGTGCCCACATGAATCAGCGGGAGAGGGGAGTCACTTGCTTTGATGAGTTGCAATGCCTTCTCTGTCACCTCCTGAGTGTGTGCTCTAAGAAGGCAACATATGTCTGTTGTATACATAATTGCCTCTTTCCTCCTCATAGGTTGCTTCTCAGGTCGGTGGCTAAATTCCTCCCTCCCATGTGGGTCTGAGTGTCTTCATCACAGTTTTGTGGAGCACAGGATGGTGTCCCCTCCTCTGGTGGCCCCTCCATGGGAAGATCCTAATGAAGCTGTGGTCTGAAAATGGAATGACTCCTGATTCTCCTGGTCCTGTCACATTCTTCCACTCCACTGCCTCTTGCCCCTTCTTTTCTTCCTTTTCCTTGGAAACCATCCCTTTCCATTGCTTTTTCAGGAAAGAAAGAAGAGGAAAGGAATGGACAAACAGGGTTATGGACAGAGGTTATTGGGTGATTATTCTGCTCACAGCATACAATGCAAGTAGAACAGGCTTTCTGGCCTCCAAAGACTTGAATTCATTATCCTTTATAATGAAGGCATGATTTCCTTATGGGATTTTAAGGCCTGCATTGGGGTTTTCCCCCAACACTTAACTGTATAAAAATTCAACACAGGGAGTTAAATGATGAAGTTCATTTCATCATTTCATACTCCCAATTAGTCATTTCAGAATGCCCATGCATGCCAAACAAAGTTTCTTCTTAGATGAGACTTGGGGGAGATCGACACTGGAGCCCCTTCCGATTACAAGGGAAGCTGCTCTGGTGTTTATGCAAAACACAAAAGGCATCTATCACAGTCCGGGCACATGCTCATGAATAAAGAGTCTTTCAAAATGGGAGCTGGTGTCACACACAAATGCAAGTGCGTTGTGGGAGAAGTCAAGGGAGTTTGAAAGGGGATGTATGCAGGGAAATGGCTCTTTAAGATTCCTTTGTTTTGTGCTTGTTTGTTTTGTAGCTCAATTAGCTATGCAAAGGTGTGATGGGAGCCAAACAGAGATAGTTTTGAAAAGAAAAGAAAAGAAAACCAGTTGACAGCTCTTCTGCTCCCTGACAAAGTCATGGAGAAGGAGAAGGGGTGCTGCCCTCTCCCAGCCAGGGGAACAAGCACACCCCCTTTCCCCTCCACCCAAAAGTGAGCAAGTTCATACCCCTCCCATATGATCTCCCACAAAGGGGACAATCAGAAGACTTTAGGAGGCACCAGAAACCTTGTTTATGAAAGGGAGGGAGGGGCATCTTCAAGGCAGAAAGGTGGGGGAGCTGTGTGGGGGGGTGGGGAGCTGGGAAAAACAACAGAAGGATCTCAGTGGTCATTTTGTTGAAGCCCCAGTAAGATACTCCCTCCCCCCACCAGAGCCCCCTCCCCCACAGCTGACTGAAACTAAGTAACTCCAGAACAGTACTGGAAGTTGAGCACATATTGATACTGGGAGGGAGCCATAACATAGGAAAAAATGGGTCTAAAGAACTCTCGGATAACTGACGGAAATAGTGCAAGCAAAATGGGTTGGAACGATCATTGTCTGTAAGGGACCAGTGTCCATAAAAATGCCTGGTGGGGGTTCCCTCAAGATTAATAAGGCTACTTTGAGTACTGTTGGGCAGAAGTTAGAAGCATCTTATTTGTTTGATTCCTTAGGAAGCATATACTTTCCCTGTCATTCCAGAGTGTGTGAAGGAATCTGTATACATTAATACCTTGGTTCACGAATGCTTCTGTTTACAAACAATTCGGTTCACGAACATAAAGTTCAGCAAAATTTTCTTGAACTCCACATTGGGTGACAAACACGATCACGTCCATCTTCCCCATCTGGACACAATTGCGGTCCTCTTCCCTGCACCACGACCACGTGTCAGACCGTGTTCAAGTTGGGAAGATGGCTGCGTTTGTGCTCGCATGAACTCGAACGCAGCCATCTTCCCCGCTCTGACACATGGTCATGGCTTCCTCTAGTTGAGATCACAGTCGCAGACTCTCCTTCCAAACAATAACCTCCTCCCCACCCACCTTCTTATCCTCCATGCCAGAAGTCACCTCAAGCAAGGTTAGTGTTCTCTCTCTTCATACTCTACTGTACTGTACTTTGTTTCATATTTTTGTGGTTTAAAAAATTACATATGGTTCGGAACGGAGTAACCTTATTTACATTGTACCTTATGAGGAAATTTGACTCATTTCATGACCAATTTGCTTCGCAACCTGAATCGTGGAATGAATTAAGTTTGTGAACTGAGGTACCACTGTACTGTGAATAGTGTATCTGGACTAATACGGACTGTTTGAAGCCTTGAGAGAGAGGCTTTTGTTAAAGCAGTTCATTACACTGCAGCCTCCTCTGGTCTGAGGGGTTAATCTCCTCCACCCAGCCATTGATTGGGATTTCAGGATCACTGCAGGCCATCATGGCTTAAATCATGGTGCTTGGTGACCATGCAAACTGCCCACTATCTTCTTGTGAACAGTATTGGTGTACCAGGTTGAAAGGACTCAGTATATAATCAGATCATGGACCAACAAGAATATACCTGCAACAGTAGATACTTCAGGACCTGAAGATTTTGAGGTATGGATTGCATGAAGTTTTGAAAACACATCCAACAGCTTACAGCACAAAGAGGCCTGAGGGCATTCAATCAGCAGTCAGAGGAGGAAGGACATGCAGGAGGAAGAAAATGGTTGGGCTTGATTATGTAAATCCAGCAGTAACAGAGATTTCATATTAATGGGAATGAATGTTTTGCAATTATACTCCATAGTTAAATGATTTCCATAGTATCATTTCTACTAGGACAGCCAAATCTAAAAGTAGCTGGCAGAGCTCTTCTGTTTAATTAGGCAAAATAGTTGAGCAACAGTTTATGCTGCCTGCGCACAATAGAGGGTGGCTGGGCCAATGGACGCAGCAAGGGAGGGCGCTTCCCCAGGATGAAAGCAACGGTGCTCTTAAGAACCCTGCTCACAGACAGCGCCTGGTGCAGCGGGCAGGTTCACACAACACAACAAACCATAGTTCTTTTAAATGGTTGTTGTGTCATCTAAATGCAACCATGGTATTTCAGCGGTAAGAAAGGGTTTGTTCTGTGGTTTCTGAGTGCCAGGATGGCTTCTTGTGTTGTCTGAACCCTGACAACAAGCCAGTGTTGCAGGAAGCCCCAGACAAGAGTGGCAGTCAGTAAGGGGCTAGGCAGAGAGTGCTGCTGACAGCTGCCCTAGGGTGGCATGGCTCCTTCTGCCTTCTTCATGCAGGACACAAAGCTCATCATCACAGTCCTGCTCTTTCTTTCCTTCTCATCCCAGGGAAAGCAGCTCAGCCTGAGAGGAACCCTCTCGCATGTGAAAGGGTGGGAGAAGAATCAGCTGGGCAGTGGTGACCCACCCCCAAGTGGAGCAGCACCCCAGCTGAATTCCCCTTCCCAGATGTGTGTGAGGGAAATCCTTTCCTCTGCTAGGGGTGGGTGTGCAGTCCGCTGGGCTACACTCTCCTGCTCCTGCTGAAGAGGCTTTCTCTGGAGCAGGAGAGAGGAAGGGAGAACATGGGCTATGTGAGATGTTCCCTGCTTGGTGGGTCCCCTTCTAGTCAGGCACCTCTGCCCCACTTCTGCTGGAGAGAAAAGCCTTCTCAAGCGGGGAAGAGGGTGCCTGACCTGGGTTGGGACGTGCCAAGAATGGAAGGTCCCAGCCACGTCCAGGTTCCTCCTTCCTCGCTCTTGATTGAGTGGCTTTCTCTCCACAGGAGTGAAAAAGAGGGCACACCCTGCTCCTGCTTGGGAGAACATCCATCTTGTGTGGAAGGAGGTTCAGAAGGCCGGCCCCTGCCAGAGCACCCTTCACGTGGGGGCAAAAAAGGAGGCACCAGCCATGGCAGCACTGCCCAGCCAATCCCCCCTCCCCCACTTGGGTAGATCAGGCTCACCTGCTCTCCTGAGGTCTCCCCTGAAGCAGGACATAAAGGTGTCTCGCCAGCTCCCTCGCCCCCCTACTGTGCTTCAGGGTGTGAGCCCTGTTTCCACAGCAGGGACTACTTCACAGCCAACTGGAAAGAAACTCGGCTTGGGACTGCAGCTGTCAAAAAGAGGAACCAGTGACCCCAAAGATACTGCCTGAAGGAATGACAGGGAAGGATGTAGTGAAGAGAGGAGAGCAACCACAATGAGCCCAATCATCTCTCAGGCTCATCATGCTGCTTGGCACTTCGGGGTAACCCATCATGGTATTTTACCACAAAGGCACAACCCACCCTGTGCCTTCTCCAGCACAGTTACTTCTCACAGAACCACACCATTGGATGTGGCCTCTGCAGGACTGAAGTCACCCATCCAAATTTCAACCCAGCCCAACCCGGCATAACTTCCAAGATTAGGCAGGATCAGGAACTTCAGGCTACATGGAAGCTCCTACTTTCTGTAGATAAGTCAGTTGCATCTTCCTGGGGTTCCAATGTGACATAGGTCCAAGATTTCGAACCAGTGTCATCACATTAAAAAGCACTGTTTTATTGTGGACAGCTCCAGTACAAGAGCTGGTAAAGAAGGAAAGTAGGGAAGACTTCCTGCCTGGTGTGGATTGAGCTGACCACTCACTAAATTGGGATGTCCAACTCTAATTTTCTTAAATGGTGGCAAGATGCCTGTTCCATTCAAGACATATCATGGAGTTCACTTTGGTAATGCAGGGTTTAGACCACAGTTTGGAACTGGCCATCACAGTGTAGTCCCCTGTTCGAAAAACTGCTTTGCGAAACAAGCCCTGTGGGTGTCATGCTTGCCTCAGGTATGTAATACAAGGTGCTGCTTTTTCCCCCTGCTGTTGTCATTCAGCAGCAATCAAGACTCTGGAGGGCAAATTGCACCATAAGTGGCATGTTCTTCAAATCCTCCTGTATTCTGCTTCAGTCACCTATTAAATAATTGTTATGATAAACAGCCGGGAATAACATCCAGTGCCATCTCCTTCGTCAGTGTTGTTCAGTCAGACTACAGTTCTATTTAAAAACTAAAGTCAGCCGTTGCAAATCTGACTGCAGGTGGAATGGGGCTGTTATATAAGGAGGTGTCATTTCTACAGCCATGTGTTGTTGTGTTTCCAGAGTGGAAGTGTGCTTCACATGCTCGCTATGCAGTCACAGCAAATTGTTTGTATAAATGATGGCATTACTCCACCCACCCACCCACCCACCCTCCCATGCGCACACGCGCTTAGAGCACCAGCCTGGTTGACGCTCTGGGGCCAGCCTGAAGAAATGATTCTTAAGGGGGAAATGGTAATCTTCCAGATTTAAACCTGTCTATAAGGAGGTAAACTGCAAGGTGTACAGTTGCAGAATGCATTTTGCTAAGATTAGAAACGTGGTCACTTGGTAATCTGAAACATTAAGAACTGCAGGAGGAAAAGTGTCCCAGGACTCATTGGTTGTCCAGCTGCTAAAATGCCTCTGGATTCTGACCTCCCCTCCCCTCCCCTCCCCTCCCCGAAGAACACATGGCCATCCCTTTGCATTGGTGTAGGAGGGGTGGACTTAAGGCGAGAGAGGGATGGTTGCTATTGCCAAGGCCACTGTTGAGTTTTGGGGAGGGAGAAGGAAGCCTGGGCAGTATCTCTGTGAGTGTGAATCTTGACCCACTCACAGTAGACGCTGCTAAATGCCTTCTGCAACCCAATCCAAATTTGCAGTGGTAACTGCTGGAATTTGCTGTTGGTTTTAGCATTGGCAGAGCATTAAGAAGTGGAGTACTGCAAAGGAGGCAGGATGGTGGTGCAGGAAAGCCTCATCCTGGAACCACCCTGAAGATCAGAGCCGGGAGGTCAGAGCCCTCCATTGCGTCCTGAGTCCTGCTGTCAAGCGGCCAGTGTGCTGGAGTGGCTGGAGTTTCAGGCTGGGGCTCAGGGGACCTGGGTTCAGCCAGAAAGCTTGCTGGGCAACTTTGTGCCAGTCACAGCCTCTCAGCCCAACCTATCTCACAGGGTTGTTGTAAGAATAAAACGGTGAGGAGGAAGAGAATTATGAAAGCCACAGTGTGCTCTGTGTAAAAACAGTGGGATCTAAATATAATAGATAATAAGGCAGGAAGGAATGATGGAGTTGA